CGGCGCCATTTTTCCTCTCCCGACCCGAGCGTCCTGTCGGAAGCCCACCGGACGGAGGGAGGGCGGAGCGCGCCCCCTCAACGACGGCGGCCTGGTGCTGCAGATGCATTTCGGTGAGGGCTAAGTGCTCGCTTAGGCCTGGCTGACGAGTAAGGAACTACCACTCCCAAGGCGCTTTGCGGGAGGCAGTGACGTCACGGGGTTTGGCCACTACCCGCGCTCCAGTGAGAAGGGGACGCGGTGGCGAGGGCTGATGACGCGCTGAGCTTCCGAATTCGACTCTAGAGGTTAATTCTCAGCGCCTTCGCGATCCTTCCGGTTTGACCGCTTTGAACTGGAAGCATTTTGTTTGTTTGTTTGTTTGTTTGTTTTTTGGTACGGGGATCGAATTTAGGACCTTGCGCTTGCGAGGCAGGCGCAGTGCTACTGAGCTAAATCCCCGGCCCTGGAAGAATTTTTTAGGTGTGTGTGTGTCGTTCGAGAATTGAACTCAGGACCCTGGTTGGTACTAAGTTACATCCCCAGCCCCTTAAAATTTTTTTCAAATATTGAGACAGGGTGTTGTCGCCAAATTGCCCAAGCTGGGGTCTTGCCATCCTTCTCCTGCCTCAGCCTCCCAGAGTGCTGGGGTTACAGGCATGTGCTACCCTGGCTGGCTGACAGTTTGGCCTTACTTGTGGCTATCCGGTGGCTATGTACCCACTGCGTTTCAAACCCCGAGCTGCCACTGAGCCACCCAGACACCATTATTATTAGGTTTTTTTGGAAATAATTTTGATCACCTCTCGTATACCCTTTGATAAAGTTCTCCAGTTGTTAACATCTTTTGGTCCCATCTGCTTTATCTTTATACCTTTTCTCCCTGGACCATTTGAGGTAGTCGCAGATAGGGTATCCCATTTACCTCTCTAGAGGTATGTCCCTCTGTATTTTCAGAAAACAAAGTCATGCTCCTACAAAGTCGTGTAACAGTGATACTGTTTTCTAACCCATAGTTGTCCATATTTAAATGTTTTCAGTTGTCCTAAGCCCTGTACGGAAGTGACCTAGGATCTGCTCTGGGAGTACCCATTGCATTCAGCTGTCTAATCTCTTTAGTTTTTCCTTCAGTCTAGTGCAGTTCCAGGTTTTCCTGGGTACTTTTGGAAATTCCTGGCCAGTTGTTTGTAGAGCTAAGGTTGAGTTTGAGGTTTCTTCACCACTGCGATGGACCCCGCGACACGTGCTGACTGGGCACTGTTGTATTCAGAGGCTGGCGTGTGTCTTCGGTTGGTCCCGGAATCAGCATCTAGCCACACCAGCCACCCTCTAGGACAAACACAAATTTTAAGTCCCTTGGAGGCCACACCCTTTGGGTGGTGTCTCCAAAGCTAACTTTTCACTCTTTACCCAGGTCTCTGCTTCTTGGAGCACCACGTTCAGTCATGGTTCACGCCTTTCTCATACAAACTTTGAGGGCCCCAAATGCAGAGGACACAGGCTTTTGCCGAGTACTCTACTCTTACGTCTTTGGTGCTGAGAAGTCACCCGATGATCCGCGGCCTCATGGTGCAGAGAGGGACAGGCTCCTCCGCAAAGAACAGATTTTGGCAGTGGCCAGGTAACCCTACAGCCCAGACCCAGGTTTTACTGAACATGTGGTCAATTGTGATCAGTATTCTGGGGGTCACAGACAAACTGGAAGATTGAGAAGCAGAAAAATTTTTATTTTTATTTTGTTTATTCTTTTGAGACAGGGTCTCACTGTAAAGTTCAGGCCGGCATTGAAAACTCATTCTGTACCCCAGTCTGGTGAGATCCTCTTGCTTCAGCCTCCCAAGTGCTGAGAGGTATGGGCGTGTACCACCATATGCCGGTGCAGTTTTAGAGTGATATTTCTTACAGAGTCTTCTGCAGTTGTTCATGAATGTTAATATGAAAAAAGTTAAAGAAATAATGCTATTTTCAGCATTATTCTAGTTAGCATTAATCGAACCTTTAAAAATGTGTTAAGCACTTATGTTCTGAGCATTTCATGTATATTATTTACCATTTTAATTTTCACAAGTCTTTTGAGGGAGTTAAAGTTGTTATCCCCACCTCACAGATGAGTAAATGGAGGCACACAGTAGCTAAGGGACTTAACCTGTCCAGCGTAATGCAGTTAAAAGTAGCGGAACTGGTGAGTATAAACCAACTGCAGTGCAGGACTTGGCAGGATTGTTAGTGTACCCATAGACTATGCATCTCTAAGGAAGAGAGCACGTGGTGCCCGGAGACTCTATAGCAAGGGTCTCCTGAAAGCCTAGCCTTCAGAGCACAGTTTGGAAAACACTGTGCCAGACTGTGGTGGCCACCCTTGGGTCTCCCAGCCCAGACCCAGACAGAACACCAGGTACCACTCTGTTCTGAGTACTACTCTGGGGCGATCCTGTGCCGGCTCTTTCCATACTTGTGTTCTCCTTGTCCTTGTTTCCCTCCCTGGAGTACAAAAGACCAAATGAAATCCTTTACAACAAGCCTTTGAATGGCCCGGACCGGAAGGCGATTCAGAAAGGATCAGAGGGCCTGGTGTGGTGGTGTGGTGGTGCACACCTGTGATCCCAGCACTCCGGAGGCTGAGGCAGGAGGATTGCAGTGAGCTCAAGGCCAGCCTGGACTGCATAGTGAGACCCTGTCTCAAAAAAAAAAGAAGAAAGAAAGGAAGGAAGGAAAAGAAAAGATCAGAGGGATCTTTCATCAAAACTTGTAATGGGCCAAGCATTGTAGTGCATTCTCATAATCCTCAGGAGGCTGAGGCATTAGGATTGCTGAGTTCAAGGCCAGCCTGGGCTACAAAGTGAGTTCAAGCCCAGCGTGAACTAAATGAGGAGACCCTATCTTTAAAAACAACAACAACAAAGCTCTGCAGGTCACAGGGAAGAAGTGAAGGTCCTTTTTGCTCAGAGAGGGGTGCAAAGAAAGAATGAGGGTAGGGAGAGACTGGCTGGCCAGGCTGGGTGATGGCACTGACTTTCATTTCTGTTGAGCAGGCTTACATGAGGATGGGTTCTTCTTCCCCTGAGACACTTTTCTAGTCCAAGGCTCTGGGTTCAGGACCTGCCTTCTGGCCATATGGAATAAAGTGGGTCAGGGCTCTGAGGCTGAGGACTCCATTCCCAAACAGGGTTCCTGGCTCTGTAGCCCTGGGACGGTCGCTTGGTCTCTTTGAGCCCCACTTTCCTCACCTGAGATACAGTGATGAGATGGAGTGTCATGAAGAAGACAGAAGTATGTGGGGGGCTCCTTGGCAGCCCTAGCAGGCTGGTTACCCACAGCCTGACCTGTCCCCTCACCCCAGGCAGGTGGAATCGATGTGCCAACTGCAGCAGCTGGCATCTGGCCGCCCTTGCTCGGATCAGCAGCCCCAGATCTCTGATGAACCTGTGTCCCTCCACGAGGCCCCCCATGGCATCTTCGGGCTGGCGGCAGGGGACCCCTTCCAGGAGCCACGGACAGTGGTGTGGCTGGGAGTGCTGTCCCTAGGCTTTACCCTGGTGCTCGATGCCCATGACAACCTGCTGCTGGCGGAAAGCACACTCCGCCTGCTGGCCCGCCTCCTCCTGGACCACCTCCGCCTGCTGGCCCCAGGCTCCAGCCTCCTGCTACGGGCCGACCACGTCGAGGGCATCCTCTCCCGTTTCCTGCCCCACGGCCAGCTTCTCTTCATCAACGACCAGTTCGTCCAGGCCCTGGAGAAGGAATTCAATGCTTCCTGGCCCCTCTGACCCTTGCTGGCTCAGGCTTCTTGCAAGGGCAGGGGAGGAGGCAGAGATTGCACCCACAGCTAGTGCAGGCTTGATATCTGCTCTGCCAGCCATCTGCCCACCCTGATGTGCCTCATACCTGGGACCCTGGATGAGACAAACTGGCAGTTAAGGGGTGGGCAGAGGTATGGGGGGCTATGCCTTTTCTCAGGTCAGTGGGAAACCCTGGTTCTGGAGCTGCCAGGTGACTCTGACCGATGCATTGTGCTGTCCATGTCAGTCCTTAACCCCAGCCCCAACCAGGAAGGGCTGCATGGAACTTGTCTCTCCTCCTTCCAAAGCCCCAGTTTTCGCCACACAAAAGGGGTCCCTGAGACTCCTTATAGTGGGGGAGCTGGGCTGCACCATAGCAGGCCTTGGTCCCTGCCTTGTGTCCCCTTAGGTAACATAGTGGGGGGTTTTGTTCATCTGAGATGACATAATCACTGGCTTTCCTCATCTACTGCAGCTGAATGCCAGAGGCCTGGCCTGGATGATGTTGTCTTTCTCATTTTCTATTAAAAGCACTGGCTGTGTGATCTCACCCTCTCCTCCTATGAATTTGATGGTTATAGTCTGTTCCTGTGGGTAAGCGTATCTCTCTGTCCTGTGCCTGTGCTTTGTGCTCCAGGATCTCCTTAAGAATGTTTTTGGGAGGCCTCTATTTTTGTCCCCCACCTCACCTATTTTTCCTTTTGTGCCTCCTTTGGATGGTGACACCTGCTTCCTCTACCAAAATGTGCATCACAGGTGGGGGGTTAGTGTGCATCCCTGAAAAGCAGAGCCTGAGGCAGGGATTAGGCGCAGAAGGCTTATGTGAGCTGCTCCCAGGAAACGAAGGGGAGGCAGCCTTCAGGTGTGTTGCCAGGCCCACTGACAGTGGGAGTGCAGAGCTTGGCCTGGGGCCAGTGTAGTGTACAGTTGGCTCTGAAGCACCTCACCTGAGGGGTGAAGTGGTGAGGGGCTGTGGTGTTTGGCCTGCCCCTTAAGCCCCTAGTTGTCTTTCCAGCCATCCTTGGCTCTTTCTATCCCCAGAAAATGCCCTCAGATGTGGAGCTGGGCCTTCTGCACCTCAGTGAGACCCAAGGGGATGTGGATGGGACAACAAAGACCAGCTGTTAAGTCTTCAATCAGCAGTTTCTAATGATGATTTCTTTTTTTTTTTTAATTGAATTTATTGGTACATTCTAGGTAGACAGTACAGTTACATTCATTACTGGGAGAGAGGAGAGATATGTTATAAGAGTTTTGTTCTTTTTTTTGGTACCGGGGATTGAACTCGGGTCCTTGTGCTTGCAAGGCAGGCCACCGAACCGCTGAGCTAAATCCCCGGTCTTCTAGTGATGATTTCAAATCACTGAATTGAGCCGGGCATGGTGGGGCATGTCTGTAATTCCAGCACTCTTGGAGGATCACAAGTTCATCCCTAATCTGGGCCACTTAGTAACTTAGCGAGACCCAGTCTAAAAAATACAAACAACATGGGATCTAGTTCAGTGCTGAGGCCTTGGGTTCAATCCTCAATATTGCAACAACAACAACAACAAAAAGTTGAGAAAAGAACTTGTTTACACCAATTCAAGACGAGACTTTCTTGGCACTGGCAGGTCAGGCCTCCTGATGGTCAGGTGCAGGTGTGGGTCCCGTCTCATTCCTGCCAGTTTGCACTGGGGCTTCCTTCGCCCCAAGAATTTGCCCTGCAGCCTTTCCGCATGTTCCCACTTTGCCCCAGCACCTGTGGCTGGGTTTCTACCACGACTCGTGAGTATCTCATGTTCCTCCAGTGGCTGTGGACGGCCCGCTGGGTGCTGTGCAGGCTACAGAGATGTCTGGGTTCTCCCGGAGACCAAGCTAGACTGGTGGCCACACAGCAGCATGGCTTGAGCATCCCCAAATCAGCTTGAAAGGGCTTTGTACATCCCAGCAAGGAAGGGTGTCTTGGCAAGGGCCCAGGGAAGGAGCAGGATTTAAGATAAAGTAAGATTACTGGTCTGGGGCTGTAGCTCAGTGGTGCGGTGCCTGCTTGCCAAGCACAAAGCCTTGAGTTTGATTCCTGGTACCCCAAAAGAGAAAAAACAGCCCCTTGAAAGATTGCTACAGAAGCAAACTTGCCTCTACCTGCAAGCCTCTTTCCTGTCCTCTCCCTGCCCCAGGAGCCCTGCCCATCTACATGCTCCTCAACCGCCTGAGAGACTGGAGTTGGCACTTAGACCAGGGCACTTCCAAGAATGTTCCTGAGGTGACAGGAGGATGGCAGGAGGGCAGTGGAGCCTGGGACAGGGGCCTCACCGGCCTTACCAATAACCCCACCCCTCCCAAAAGGTATACCCTCCTCTGCTGTCCCTGAGTGTGAACGCAGACTGGTCCTCCACCCTAAATAAAGCTTTGTCTCGGACTAGTGGTAAGGAGCTAATTCAACTGAAGGGAGAGTTTGCCATTTCACCGGGACAGGGCCCCTGGGTCACTACGTCTTCCTCAGCCTCCCTCAGAGTTCGTCTCTTTCCCACACACACAGCTATGCACATACTTGTTATAAACATGATTAGCAAATCTTGCTTGTCTGATACAGCACATGACATCTTAAGGCTCTATTTGGGAAATTAAAGGGGCCTTAACTTTTCCTTTAATAGCCTTTTTTTTTTTTTTTTTTTTTTTTT